ACATTTAAAAAAGTATAATAAATCAATTTAATATAGCCTACACCTTCACAATAAATCCATTATTTATTTTAGACAGGTCTAAAAAAACATGATATAAAGAAAATGTAGTTTATTTCAGAAGAACAGAATAGCCTACTCTGAGTTGTCCTTATGTTAGGTCCTGATCTGGCTATGCCATATGGCTGTGGGCTACACTAGTTAATTTAGCAGACAAGATTTGCTTAGAATTCCGTGGCATTATTTTATATTATTTTATAGTATGAAGAATACAACTGAACAAAGATGAATAAAATAGAAAGCATATTTTCTCCAAACAATTTGAGGGAGTGCGCACATGCGGCTATTCTGTGTTGAGCGGTTTACAAATAAATAGGTTTATGCTTAATTTAGAGTTATTAATGTAACTTTAGTTGTTCTACAAATGTTGGGCTATATGTTTAGATTTTTAATACATTGTAAGGCTGCATGATGCGACTCTAATGATGATTTGAAAAAAGTTGCTTGAAAGGCATGAGCTCTGCTTAGTTTTTTTGCACAGGCTGTTCACACTTCATCAGTCTCTCATTCACAATTTGAGAAGCACTTGATAATGCCTCGAATTCCCCGGCGGCATCCCTAAAACAATCCATGCCTTTTGCTGCCCTTCTCCCTGAGTGCTGCCTGATCCTGACCTCTCATCTCACTCACACGGCTCTCCATCACATGATCGGGTCTTTCTCACAGGCTACAAGTGAAGACAGACACATCGGGGACGCAACTGCGCGCGTCCTTATCCAATTCCGAGGTGCATATTGAAGATATTGGAAGAACTGTCCAAATTTACTTTTCGTCAACCAACAAGATGAGTAGGCCTAACGATCAGCAAAAGCACTAGCCTATGTCAATTTACTATCTCCCATAGTACAAAATTGACCTATTCTATTCTGTGCGAGAAATAAATATTCCAAACATAGTCTGGGACAGTTGTGGGATACGATAGATCCCAAATTAATATAACCACTAGCATCAAAAAAACATTTTTACGCAATGAGGTCAGAACGTTTAGCTTAAAATGTTGATAAACTATTAGGCTATTTCTTCACATTATACGCGCAGCAATGCGCACATGGTAGTAGGCTATAAGCGCAAATGTTCCATTAGCAGAAAACACCATTATCAAAAGTGACCGCAAATGCAGTTAAGCATGTAATGCTTTTATTATAAAGGTGCCTTTTTATGGTGAAAATGATCTTCCCCAAACTTGAAACTCACACGCTGCATACAGTATTGTATGCCAGTTAGCCTCTACACCCGTAGTAAAGCGGATTCATGTGCTTCATTTGAAGAAGTTATTTGGCCACTTTAGTTGTGATACAAACCTTATCAAAACATATAGGCCTATGGGCTAGGCTACATGAGGTGTGCGACTATGATTAGAAAAAGTCACAAAAAAAGACATTGTTTCTTGCCTTAAGCTGGGCATCATTCACAAGTGATAATATATAATTCACAAATGATAGGCTAATATTGTCACCCATCAGACAATTCTTGATTCAATCTTATCTTTACATATACTAAATAATATATGTATGAAATTCGTTTTGATTTAGAATGGACCATTATTATGGACCTGTCTTGAAACAGGGGCAGGGGAAAAAATGTATGTAATCTCTGCACTTAAATAGCAAATGGAGGACGCTTTTCCTGTGGTTAATTTTCATACCATCCAGGTAGGCTATACTCCTGTTGTAAAGATAAGCAATGTACTTAATATTTGCTTAATATTAGGAAAGTTGAGAAATAAATATAGCAGGCCTAGCTTATAGAAAGCTGATGGGATCCTCCTCTTTTTAATAGAGTCCATCACTCTGTTTTCTCACGCAATTGCATAGCCTATAGAAATGTTGCACAACATGAGCTCATGGGCTCTCATGAAGTGTTTGATTAGATTTTCGATAACATTTGCATTGATGTCAGAGTGATTAGTACCAGGCATTTAGCAAGTTTGGTAGGCTACTAATGACCATCAACAGCATCAGAGCTTGGAGGAGCCTAATTACCTTGACTAAGTGGTCATGTGGAATTTGACTGTCTTCATGACTCGTGACCGCCAGTGTGGTGGTAATAAGGTCACCGCAACAGCCCTAGTCATAATTACTGTGTAAGTCTATGGAAGGAGGTGAGAACTATGAACCTCCTAGGTTTTGTGCTGAAGTAAGAGGAGGATGGAAACTAGCTGTCCTCCGGCTACACCATGGGGCTACCCTACAGAGTGCTGTTGAGGCTACTGTAGACCTTCATTGCAAAATAGTGTGTTTTAATCAATGATTTGGTGACATTAATATATTTAGTATAGTTTATCTAAAAAGGATTACTGTTTCACTATTTTTATTTTCTGAAATTCACTGAGGAGGATGGTCCTCCCCTTCCTCCTCTGAGGAGCCTCCGCTGATCCACACACTGCTTAGATACTCCCCTGATGTTGCAACATTTCAAACATTGTAGGTCTTTGAGGTAAAACCACTGACTTTGGCTGATTTGAAGTATTGCTGCTACGTTAAAACATTGGTTTAAAATCCACTGAACACATTGTCTTGAGCATACAAGAACACCAGTGTCTAGTCCGCCGCACCTGTCAAATCTCTCTCTCTTTCAAAAATGTTCTGTCTCAGCAGCTAGACTCACTCTTTGTGAGGGAGGATGGAGGAGATTTCTAGTGGCCAGACTTGCTTGTTACTCCTGTGTTTTGTTATTTTATGAATGGCGAAGTGCACTTAACGCTAGCTATCTAGCCTGCAGGGGTAGCCGGCCTCAGCAGCCCCAGTCAATGGCATTGGATGGGAGCATTGAGGTGAAACAAACATGCTTCTTCCTCACATCTGAAGAAGTACCCTGCTAAAGCCCCCAGCTCTTCTCCTGTTTGGTAATCATCCCAACCAGCAGCAGGAATCAAGGTTTTCATAAAAAGGGCTATTTATATCCTGATTTTTATTTGTTTACGTAATCAGTCACATAATCAGTCAATAATTACAATTAATTAATTACTGCAAGCAAAAAAAAGAACAAACCAGATGAAGTAGGTTAAGCATGAATGGTTTTTCTTTCAAATCGTCATTGGCGCCAAGGGGACTTAAGAGCAGAAGAATTATAATGCACTGGATCTCCCATTTTCAAGTCAGAATGCTCACCATGCACCTGTCCCTCATACACTGCTCTCTCCTGACAGGCGCTCCACTTTGGTCATCACCACCAAGATCTTCTGGGGAGGAAAGTACGTATTATACTGGAGCCTTTTTCTCTGTGTGTGTGTGTGTGTGTGCATGTGCGTGCGTGCATGTCAGTGTTTGTGTGTGTATGTTAGAGGCAGCATTGAGGCTGTATGACTCTTAATTGTTTTCCTGCAAGGAAATGGGGTCAATCCCCTCCCATGAGAATGCCCTTTCACTGACGACCAATTAAAGGGGCAATCATTAGTTGCTACATCCATTTTTTTTGACAAATAAATGAATGATATGTACCCATTGATTCTTGAAGAATATAACGTATAAATGCCTCATGAGCTTAGTTTAACTGTCGTACCCCATCAGAACTCAAAATATAAGCTTGTTTCACTCTGTTTGTAAACAAAGTAAATGTAAACAACCACTGTATAGCCTAAAAACATGGTTAAAACTATAATTTTGATATCATGGATGGTCAGTCCTTGCATCCATAGCGTAGTCTATCGATTTGAGAGTGGTTCGATTTCTCCAGCCCCATCCCTCAGCTTTTGACTGAAACTGCGGGGAGAACACATAGTTAATGTTTCGATTAATGCTGCTTTAATGGTCTTGCCTAGCACTGACAGGAGGCACCCATTCAACTTTAATACCTTTATGTCTTGCATCATACAGATGGAAAGAGGGCACATGCTGCCCCTGCTAAGACATGCTGTGTGTCAAGTGTGCCCTCTATTTATCTCTATGTCTCACATTCAACCCACCAATATGGATCCAATACAATGAACATCTGTACTGTATCAGCTACATTATGACTTGTGAAACTGTGAATGGTAGCAGGGAGTTGTTAAATGTCACGATTTTATATCCTGACAAGGGCATTTGTTGTTTGCTTTTCAGAGCAGAAACAGAAAGAGGGTTGTCCAGAAAACATATAATCGAAGGTAAGCCATTTTAAGCCACTTTTATACCGAGTTATTAATGCATGTACAATGTGGTAGCCTATATACTTGCAGGATATCAATATGACATTTGCGTCCAATCCAGTCATTCACTAGATTCAGTACCTACTGTATATACAGTGCATAAATGAAAGCATTAAAGACAAACAGGATTGTGGCTTTAATGTAAAGTACATTTTACATTTTAGTCATTTAGCAGATGCTCTTATCCAGAGCGACTTACAGTTAGTGAGTGCATACATATTTTTCATACTGGCCCCCCGTGGGAAACGAACCCACAACCCTGGCGTTGCAAACGCCATGCTCTACCAACTGAGCTACACGGGACTAAGTATTACCGTTATCTTGATGGTCTTTGCCCTATATAATGCAGGACTAAGGGCATCGCTAGACAGACTGCAGCTAGAGTATGTGGATGTCGTTTTCGCAAACAGACCGGACCCCAACACACCTATGGAAGGTAGGCAGCACTCTTCTTTGAATGCTGTTTGTTTACATTCATCTGTGGTATTTTCAGTGCTGCATATCTGCTGCACAGTGACATATTCTTGCGATAAACAGACCACCTTGCATCCAGTTGTGCAGCGGTGCATTAATAATGCTCAGTCAGGCTAGCATCTCATGCGTATATATTATCTACAGACAGATAAATGGTTCTATGCTTTGGACCTTAAGGTTACATTTACTTTCATTGGGTACATAAGTCTAAGTTTTACGAATCCTAACTGTAGAGATAGGACACAGTTGACAGCTCAAACATCCTCTTTGCGTACGAACTGCGGTAATATATGATTGTCTAAACACAAACCTACCGAACAGGGGCATGGGCAATGGATGATAAATGTATATTCCTGTCACCGATTTAAATGGTCAGTAAAGCATTGTGAACTTTGAACTTGAGCTCGAGCTCAGTCAGTGCATGATGGGGCTCGCTGTATTGAGCTGTGGCTCCCACCCTGCTGCCCCTTATGTATACTTCCAGATGTCATTTCATTCACAGACTGGTCAACGTCTTCACTTTCTTTTTGTTTGTCACCAGGAGACCCATTTCACACCTCAAAGTCCAAGACATTCATCATAGAAGGTACATGGTACCCTTAGTCAAAACAAAGTGTTCAATCAACACCCCTTCAAACGAAAGGCATTTTATGGCAGTGACTTGATAGAAGTAGTCCTCCCTCCATTATCCTACCATTCAAAACCCCCTTTGAATCCATAAAATGTTGGACTTTTCGTAGTGCTAGCAAAAAAGGGTGGTCTACTGTAGTGGATTGAGAGAGGGATTGATTCATACTTGGTAACGTTACATCTTGCAAGTACATTTTGGAGAAGTTCACTGAATTTCATGGATCCCTCATTCATTGTAAAAATGAAAAATCCTTAACTTCAATTTCCTTTCTCATTTTCACTTCAAAGCCAACATTTATTTTTGAATCTTTTTTTTTCTCATGTTTTCTCAATCAATTCATCAGTATAACAGATATGTTTATTTGTCAGAAATAAATTAATTATTTCTGGGCTTATAATGCCAATGCGGGCAGTTTCAGATACCCTTGTCGTCTTGAAAAGGCCATTTCCACTTTTTGTTGTTGGAAGAAATGACACTTAAAGATGTCCATTCTCTCCGGCTGACAATTGTAACCAGAATATGATGTAATCCTTCCAGAATCCTTTGATTTACTCAGTTTGGTGTCTTTCTGTTTTATCTCTCTCTCTCTCTCTCTCTCTCTCTCTCTCTCTCTCTCTCTCTCTCTCTCTCTCTCTCTCTCTCTCTCTCTCCTCTCTCTCCTCTCTCTCTCTCTCTCTCTCTCTCTCTCCTCTCTCTCTCTCTCTCTCTCTCTCTCTCTCTCTTCAACTGTAACTTATAACAGATCAATGCAATAAAGTAGAGTTCCATACCATGTAGAAAGAGGAGCAGGATATGAGGTGTACACAGTCACATGTACCTTTACAGTAGCCATAAAGCATTGTGAAAGCCAAAGTACCCCATGCACAAACCCCTCCTGACCATTACTGTTTTTGTTGGCATCACTCACCCCTCCCATTTCTCAGACGACTGGCTTGGTTTCCTTTTATTTTGCAAGATGTCCGCTGCCGGTGCTGCTGCAGCCTCCTTTGTGAACGCTGTCTTGACTGCAGTGTGTCTCTCTAGCCTGAGCATGCAACCCATCAGGGTTTTGTTCCAGCCAAGCAGTAACCTGATTATACTAATCAGAGTCTTGATTAAATACTAGTTAATGGGTAGAATAGGTTTGATACTTGCCTGGAACAAAACCTTGCACCCACATGTGCCATAGGAGGTAAAGAATGCATACCCCGGGCTAGATGATGGTTTTGGGGCCACTGAAGCCTTATTCACAAATCTTCCTTTTTTTCTCTTTACAACAGTTAAAGACGGTACAAATATAACAGCCGAGACAAGACAAGACGTTTTTATGCCAGTTTTAGAACAAAGTTTGCTTGATCTGAATGGTCTAGTTTTAGAATGTCTCATTTCAGCTGCTGGAGTTTCCAGAATTCAACCTGTCAAAACTTAGCTAAAGACTTGAGACGAGACGGGTCTGTTTAGCCAATCAGAGAGCAGTATGCTGACGTTCTGTGTTAGCCAAGCAGCTAGGTAGCTAGCCAAGCAGACAGCTAGCCAGCTATTTTGCTCTAGCTAGCCTAGTTTGCTGATATATCTCTGACAAGTTACAAAGTGTGCCCTATTTCTGGTGCATATATTTCATGATACTTGTTTGCTACAACACCTTGCTACAACAAGTGGTAACTGTCTCAAAGTTTTTGTATCTGAATGTGCATCTTTAGTCAGCTGTTCTACAACACATAATTCTAAAACGATCTAGTTTTTTTCTTGTCTCGTCTTTCCATATGTCAGAGTTATATCTCAAATAAAATAACATTTTACAGCAAGTATAAAAGGTGCAGTGAAATGCTTGTGTGCTAGCTCCCTCAACATTGCAGTTCAATAATCAATATCAACTAGAATAAATAAATGGGGATACAACAAGCTTCATAGTTTATAAAGTATGAATGGTAGCAAAAAGCTGTGTTGAAGCCATCTAAGTTGAGTCAGTCTGCACATGTCAACATTGGGGTGGTGTTTGTAGCTGAAACGGATCAAGAGCAGTGGAATCCAAAATTTGCCTTTGAAGTCTATGGAGCTTTTATGCAAACGTGAAACTGTTATAGTTCAAAAAGTACAAATAGCATCAACAATCTCTTGACATGCAATCTAAGTTGAGTCAGTCTGTACATGTCAGCGTTGGTTTGTGTTTGTAGCTTTAATGGTTCAAGAGCATTGGTTAATCCAAATACTTTGCCTTCAAGCCTATAGAGCTTTTATGGACATTTAAAATGGTTATAGTTCAAATAGTATAAATGGTATCAAAAAGCTGTATACAAACACGCTATTCCAGAACGGTCTGAACGTTTTAGAGTTTGAATGGCGTTTCTAGCTTAAACCATTGAAGACTAGCAGCGACCGGTATTTCTTCCATTAAAGTCTATAACCCCTGAAATATGTTGGGGTTTATGCAAATATGGTTGTAGTGTGAAAAATATAATTAGAATCAAACGTTTTTTTCAAGCAACAGTACCAGTGCCAGTCTGCACGTTTTAAAGTTGCTTTGGTGTTGGTATATTTAACGGTTCAAGAGCAGTGGCGAATCCAAATACTTCCCATTTAAGCTTAGGTATCACCTTTAAAACAGTAATAGTTCAGAAAGTATACATGGTATCAAAACCGCTGAATACGAGCAACCTATTCCAGACCAGTCTGCACATTTGAAAGTTTGAATGGCGTTTCTAGCTTAAATGGTTGAAGACTAGTAGTTAAGGGATACATTTTTACCATTCAACTCTATGGCCATTGAAATGCATTGGGATTTATGTAAATGTGGTTTTAGCAGGAAAAGTAGTATCAAACTTTTTTTTCAAGTGCACTGCGGACGGTCAGCCTACACGTTTTAAAGTTGTTTTGGTGTCGGTAGATTTTACGGTTTTGACGCTACAGGTCGCACAGAGCTGTTCTCTTTAAAACATGCTTTTAAAACAACCTGTTTTTAAAATGTAATGTTTCTTATATAAAGGGAGCATGAAAAGCTTTGAAGAAAACTCTGGGTTTTGGATTGACCCTACTGCTATTTTGACTCTGGCATGAACAGTGCTGTTTTTGCCCCGATAAAATTGGTCAGACAATGTATTTGACTGCCTGATTTGTGACTGTAAAACCTTAACGCATAAATACTTTTTAAAAATTTCAATTGAGCGTCAAATCAAAACAAAAGCCTCAAAAAAAGAAAATCAGTGTGTTGATTGACTCCAAAAAGGAATGACATTTTCTTCCTTTTCTCCCCATATGTTTCACTGCTCATTATTTTCACTGATGTATACATTAACTAGGTAACTCCTTTGTGCTTTTACCCTTTGTCCAAAATTCTATGTGGACTTTCCTTCTATCTCCTCTTTCTCTTTCATTTCTCATATCCCTCTCCTCAATACCTTTTCACCCTCTCTCTTACTCTCACCTGTTCCCTCCACTCCTCTTCTCCAATGTCGGGGCCAATGGGTGAATGGTGTCTTTTGATTGGCAGAGACGGTGCGGGCAATGACCCATGTGATCAACCAGGGGATGGCCATGTACTGGGGAACGTCGCGCTGGAGCTCCATGGAGATCATGGTGAGTTGGAAAACAGTTGAAACACAATTAAACCATGGATTACTTAAAATAATCAATGACTTATTCCCATCACTGTATTGTTACGAAAGTACATTGTTCGTCCCTGAGCCTGTTTGCTTCTGTTCCTTTTCTGTCCTATAGGAGGCGTACTCAGTGGCCAGGCAGTTCAACCTGATCCCCCCTATATGTGAGCAGGCTGAGTACCACATGTTCCAGAGGGAGAAGGTGGAGGTGCAGCTCCCCGAGCTCTTCCACAAAATAGGTAAGTTACACAGCAACCGTCTGCCTCCCTTTGGTTCGACCCATAGAGGTGGATAGAGGGTGCACTTACAACAACGATAAAAGATAGGTGTGCCCTCTTTCCATCGCTATGGTTCCAGCGTTTAATAAGGGTAGACCCTGAAAGAGCTGAGGTCTGCCATTTTTGCCACAAACATACTCCATTGGCTGCTATTCATGTTTGGTAATGTGGCTAATGCTAGCCAGAAGTTGTGATAATACTAATGTAGCTAATATACAGTATTTTTATTTTGAATGAATCACTCTTAGGGGATGCTCTCAGTCCGAGTAACCTGTCAAGGCACATAAAGACCAAGGCATGGAAGTCATAATGGCGGTAAAGCTTGGTATTCATTAGGCACCAAATGGAAGAAAACAGACTAAAACATAGAGGGCCTACCTGAACTTGTCCAATAAGAAACGCTTGTTTTCGGTTTCCGTTGCAAAACGTTTTGCTACGGTGTGCACTAATGAATATGATCCTGATGTCTCTGTGCAGGTGTGGGTGCCATGACATGGTCTCCGCTGGCGTGCGGGATCATCTCAGGGAAGTACGACAGTGGGGTACCCCCGTGCTCACGGGCCTCACTAAAGGTAACCTTTGACCCTTGACATGTGACTGATGCCTTATCCTCTCCAGCCCACATCTCGTCGCTTGTCTGTCACACCCCTTTGCTTGTGGTTGTAGTTGGTGTTGTTTTTTTGTCCTGCCACTGTGCCACCTTCCTTTCTGCTAACAACAGTTTATCCTGATAGCACATTGTTGTAGTACGTTCCTCTGACTTAATGCATGTCAATTGACGATTGGGGACTTTAGAAAGTGTCAGGAAAGCCATTCGGTGTATATGGGTCACCCAGCTTCAGTGGAACATTCCTACACACCTACGCACAAATGCACAAATGCACACATGCGCACACACAAACACACACAGACACACACACACACACACACACACACACACACACACACACACACTCACACACACTGTGCTCTCTCTTTCTGTGTGTTCTGTACCATGCTGTCTATCGCTCTCCTCCTCCTGTTCAGCGACATCTTTGGCTTAATGATCCTCAAATGAAGGGATCTATGCCATTGATTTCCTATGTCATACACTCCACTGGTGGAAACAGGCCATTTATGTCCACTCAGGCACACAAATGTGGAAGCACTGAACCAAGGTCTAAGACAGAGGGTGGCTGTGTGTGTGCGATAACCAGAGGCAGGCAGTTACAGTCTCTGTGTAGTTCCCTCACATAGCAGACATCTGCTCTGCCACTGGTGAGAGATCCACACACACTGTATGCGTTATGTATGATATCTCTATAACTTTCAGCCATTCACAGAAAGGCATCTCTGCACACAAGGGGTTTCTGGATACAGTAGTCCTGAGCTGGAGTGTGTGTGTGTGTGTGTGTGTGTGTGTGTGTGTGTGTGTGTGTGTGTGTGTGTGTGTGTGTGTGTGTGTGTGTGTGTGTGTGTGTGTGTGTGTGTGTGTGTGTTTGTGTGCGCACGCATGCGTGTGTGTTCTGTGCTGTGACAGGGCTACCAGTGGATGAAGGACAAGATCCTGAGTGAGGAGGGGCGCCGTCAGCAGGCGAAGCTGAAAGAGCTGCAGGCCATTGCCGAGCGACTGGGCTGCACCCTGCCCCAGCTCGCCATCGGTAACACACACCTGCCACTCTCTCTTTTTCTCTCTGTCTGTCTGTCCTGTCCAGCCGTCCGTCTGTCTCTTTCTTTAGAGCTCCAGCGTCTGTTAGTCAGTCTGATTTATGCAATCTATCTAACAGGGACAGTGCACGTTAATCAACATATCAGTGTTCACATCAATGTAAAATTACCAGAGTTAGCAAATGAGCTAACCGTCGTCCATAGTCTGTCTGTCTAGTAGAACCTCAAGTAGGAGGTTGGTCAAGTCCCTGGTAGTCAAATATTCCGATGTGTTGGTTCAGCTTAACGTCACAATGCCTGAGAATGAGTCTTTGTGCTCACCTGAAGTCACTTAGTTGCACTGGACATGTGCATGTGTGTGTGTGTGTTTCCTCACTCCTTCACTGTACTTTGTGCTTCCACACACACATTGTTCATTTTCCTGTGTGGTTGTTCCCTCCCACAGCATGGTGCCTGAGGAATGAAGGGGTGAGCTCTGTGCTACTGGGGGCCTCCAGCACAGACCAACTGATGGAGAATCTAGCAGCAATACAGGTCAGAAGTGAATACTCCACACACACACATTCACACAAGTACTCACATTCACACATACTGTACTTATGCATGCTTGCTCACATACCACATACACATGATCTCTCTCTCTCTCTTTCACACACACACACACACTGGGTGTGAACCCATGTGTGTAAGAACTCACATTCACACATACTTCTGGATACTTGCTCACATACCACATACACATACGCTCTCCCTCTCTCTCCACACAATGAGAAAGATCTTCTAACCGAGCATTGCCTCTAAGTGGTAAACACAGTGCCTTCGGAAAGTATTCAGACCCCTTGACTTTTTCCACATTACGTTACAGCTTTATTCTAAAATTCATTAAATAAATGAAACTCCTCAACAATCTACACACAATACCCCATAATGACAAAGATAAAAACGTTGTTTTGTTTTACATTTTTACAAAAAAAAAAAAAAAAGAAAAGGAAATACCTAATTTACATAAGTATTCAGACCCTTTGCTATGAGACTCGAAATTGAGCTCAGGTGCATCCTGTTTCCATTGATCATCATTGAGATGTTTCTACAACTTGATTGGAGTCCACGTGTGGTAAATTCAATTGATTGGACATGATTTGGAAAGGCACACACCTGTCTATATAAGGTCCCACAGTTGACAGCGAATGTCAGAGCAAAAACCAAGACAGAATTGTCCGAAGAGCTCCGAGACAGGATTGTGTCGAGGCACAGATCTGGGGAAGGGTACCAATTCTGCAGCATTGAAGGTCCCCAAGAACACAGTGCCCTTCATCATTCTTAAATGGAAAATGTTTGGAACCACCAAGAGTCTTCCTAGAGCTGGCCACCCGGCAAAACTGAGCAATCGGGGGAGAAGGGCCTTGGTCAGGGAGGTGACCAAGAGCTCCAGAGTTCCTCTGTGGAGATGGGAGAACCTTCCAGAAGGACATCCATCTCTGCAGCACTCCACCAATCAGGTCTTTATGGTAGAGTGTCCAGACAGAAGCCACTCCTCAGTAAAAGGCACATGACAGCCCGCTTGGAGTTTGCCAAAAGGCACCTAAAGACTCCCAAACCATGAGAAACAAGATTCTCTGGTCTGATGAAACCAAGATTGAACTCTTTGGCCTGAATGCCAAGCGTCATGTCTGGAGGAAACCTGGCACCATTCCTACGGTGAAGCATGGTGGTGGCAGCATCATGCTGTGGGGATGTTTTTTAGTGGAGGGGCTGGGAGACTACTCAGGATCAAGGCAAAGATGATTGGAGCAAAGTACAGAGAGATCCTTGATGAAAACCTGCTCTAGAGCGCTCAGGACCTCACACTGGGGCAAAGGTTCACCTTCCAACAGGACAACGATCCTAAGCACACAGCCAAGACAACGCAGGAGTGGCTTCGGGAGAAATCTCTCAATGTCCTTGAGTGGCCCAGCTTGAGCCCGGACTTGAACCCAATCGAACATCTCTGGAGAGACCTGAAAATAGCTGTGCAGCAAACGCTCCCCATCCAACCTGACAGAGCTTGAGAGGATCTGCAGAGATGAATGGGAGAAACTCCCCAAATACAGGTGTGCCAAGCTTGTAGCGTCATACCAAAGAAGACTCGATGCTGTAATCGCTGCCAAAGGTGCTTCAACAAAGTACTGAGTAAAGAGTCTGAATACTTATGTAATTGTGATATTTCCATTTATTTATTTTGTATACATTTGGAAACATTTATAAAAACCTGTTTTTGCTATGTCATTATGGGTTATTGTGTGTAGATTGAGGCAAAAAAGTTTACATCAATTTTAGAATAAGGCTGTAACGTAACAAAATGTGGAAAAAGTGAAGGGGTCTGAATACTTTCCGAAGGCACTTATTCTGCGACATCTGCTTAATTTCCAGAACATTTTGTTGTTGTTGTTTTGTTTTTTACATTGTAGCTCAATTCTATTTTTTGCCTTATTGGGAAATATTTCCGTCTGGGGTGATAGTCTGTTTGCTTGTATTTGTTTACTGTTGTTGACGTGGATTTGATGACTTGTGTAGTGGCATTGAATTTGAATTCCAACTGGGGACATTGTGTTCATTATGTAATGTATGTCACTCTCCTTCTCTCACAGGTTCTTCCAAAGTTGTCGTCCTCCATCGTGCATGAGATGGATAGTATCCTAGGCAACAAGCCCTACAGTAAAAAGGACTACAGATCCTAGAGGCTGCCTGAGGAACATTGTTGGGCACTCAGCATCTTCCTACTTCCTCGTTTGCGACCAGCTTCAGTTGAACAAGACACCAGGCACCATGGGAAATATATAGCCATTAATCCACTTGGGAAAGTCAATCAGAGTATCTAAAAATATATATCTTTCTCCCAACCCAAAGATTTTAGAGGAAACTTGGAGACGTGTCCCGTCCAAGGAACTGTATTCACCATTTCAGTGAAACATTTGCTTCAGCATGAAAAAAAAACATTTATTTCGGGTCAAAGGGAAAAACACAAAAAGTCACGCACATGTTTGCCTTGCATTAATTTCCTGCTTGGCCATCTTATTATTATTTAGAAAAGTAGATGGACCCAGAGCAAGTCCTTAAATGCACTTCATTCATAAATTATTTATTCTATAACAGATTCTTGATTTAAAAGGATCAGAATCCAGAACCCTTTTGAAAAGGTTTTTGTCTTGTATAGGTCCCATAAAATGAATTGATCCAGCACTCCATTAAAGATGCACTGTGCAGAAATCAAACCGCCATTTCCTGGTTGCTAAAATTCTAATAGTTCGCTTAATTTCACTTTATATGACAAAACAAGCAAGTATAGTGTAGAGAATCACTGTAACATCTAAACCGCTGTGAAATATATTTTCCATAACCAACAATATTGTATTTTCAGCTGTTTGTAGCTGGTGTACAAAAACGAAAGTAAGACACAAAAACTAAACTTAAGAACGGGAAGCATAGAAAGAGAGCACATAGAACAGATCTACAGCTTCTTAGACTTGCTTTCAATGAGAATGACAGATCTATAACTCACATTTCTATGTGAATTTGGTCGGGTCGCCCAAAAAGTTACATATTGCAGCTTTAAATAACTAATACATTGGTCGTATTGAAGACTGAATAGGATAACTTTTGTTGAGATTACCAAAGCTGATACTATACCATGCATAGACAATATAAATAGAATGATGAGGAGTGGACATGATTCTGTATCTGATATAAAGGGCATATGTCCCACTACCCTGATGATTAGTTGAAAAAAGGACATTGAACACTTAAACACACATTGCACACAGAGGTGTCATGAGTTAGTATGGTTAAATCACACCCATTCAACTAAGGCAACTTGGGCTGCCATCTTTTCAACTGGCATAAAGTTGAAGCCTACAGTATATCTTCCAACCAAAGACAAACATTGGTATGGAGGAAGATTCATGCCAACATCAATGCACAAGAATATTAAAATTGAACACTAGCATGAACCATTCTCCATAAATTATTAGTTATTTCTGAATTTCACCTAGCTACAAGACTGTAAATCTGCCAGTCTGTGTGAATTTTTTTGTAAGCCTACCGAATGGCAGTGTCTATCCTATGAATTGTATTTCTTCACTTCTATTCCTTTACACACACACACTCCCTCCCTCTGCTTCAGTGTGAAGAGGGCTGCCCTCCCAGCCATATACAGTAATGGCTTTTCAGAGAGCACTCAGTGAGAAAACCCCTTGCCTCAATAACTCTGTCACATCCTTTAGTGACTGGATCAGGTTAAGTGTTTTTAACTTTTTACTCCCTTTATCGCAGAAGACAGGGTCCCGGGATTGGTCATGCAGTTTTCCCAGAGTGCTAAATAATACAGCTTCCTGTGTTATGAAGTGATGTAACACAAAACAGAACAAACTGGCACCATCTGTCAACAACTACTTCTCCCTTCCCAAAAATATATATGTTTCATGTAAGCGTAATGTTCTCGTTTCATAAATGCTTTCTGTGAGCAGACAAAGCTACGGAATAGTGAAGGTCCAGTGGGAAGGCATATTAGTGTGTGTGTGCATGCGTGTGTGGACTTCACTTTACCTGGTCTTGGTCACTGCTGTAGTTGGACAAGAGACATGTTCACTCGTCTAAAGCCAAAAAGAACACCACAACACACATATTACTGTACTGTATAATACACAAGGCATCTAAGTGGTTTCTGCCAGTCAGAGTGACTGTGGTTCGTTTTGATTTCAGTCTCAACGTCGCTTGAGATTCATTTAGGGATGCTTTCACGCAGCCTAGTCTCCTTTCCTCTGTCATTGAAAATGTGGGAACATGATATTTGGGAAACACAGTTGCAAACATAGTATTTTCTGTGTTTGCAATGTCAAATTTTCTGCCTAAAGATATTGTGTCCCGATTCTAAACAATGTTCAAAAGCGTTTGTGAGATAGACACACTGGTTGTATCTCATTCTAAATGAGATAGAGATTGAAAGAGAGAAAAAGAGAGAGAGGGACATGTCAAAGTCAATGCTGCAAACCTCAGGAGTATCTTTGTTGGGGCTTTGGCGCCCCCCTCAGGTCTTAAAACATCAGTGGCAGCATTGATGTTGATACTTCTTGTCTGAGAAAACACCCATCCTGTCTACAATTGGTATAAAAACCTGATCCGTGCTTCACCTTAATATTTTGAGTTCAATATTTTGATTTGATAATGTCATTTCAATTTGGCAAGATAACTTGACATTTGCCATTATAATGACATGTGGTCCTCTGTAGCTCAGCTGGTAGAGCACGGCGCTTGTAACGCCAAGGTAGTGGGTTCGATCCCCGGGACCACCAATACACAAAAATGTATGCACGCATGACTGTAAGTCGCTTTGGATAAAAGCGTCTGCTAAATGGCTTATTATTATTATGCTCTAACTATGGCAATGGATGGTTGATGGTATGATGCCATTTAGTAACAAGACAGTAAAGTCTACAGTAAATACAATTTTGTAACACCTTACCGCAAGTTTGCATAAGTATCTATACCCATTACAGTTGTGACACTGAGATAGTTGGCCCATATCAACTCTGCTGTCCAACCAGTTACTGAAATAAAAATGACTGGGACTGAAATGACTGGGACTTGAGCATTAGGTGTGATGATAGTTTAAGGTAGGATGATGGATGTGCTTCCAGGTTAACTTAGCCTGTAGTTCAACACAACACAGGCCTGCAAGATTGATGGGGTGTCCAGATTTCCAGTACACCAGACAAAAAAGTGACTGTTTATTTATTGCATGGGCACCCACTTTGACACTACTCTTTAGCTAATGTGATACAAATACAGCATATTGTCTGAGTGTAAACATACAGCTTTTTTTATGTTGTATACCTATGTTTTACATGTAACATACCTATGTTTTGTTTGCTTAAATTATGTATTTAGGGATTACAACTGGCCTAGCCTGTAAGGCTTTTGGCTTTCACCGAAGCTCACGACTGAGCAACATGGAGGAAACATCTTATTTTAAAGCTAGGTTATATACTGTAACCGCTCAAATTGTACAGTTGCATATGCGTGTGAGTGTGTGCATGTGTTCATGAGTGAGAGCCTGTGTATGTGTGTGTGTATACCAGTAACCCACACTGCTCTCTTATGTTTTGTCCTGTGTGCTCTGATGTGGACTTTGGCAGGACAACTATATATTTGTTGCATGTGCATTTCTCTAAGTTTGTGGTCACCAGGCTGGTTCTACCTAGTCCCAGGGAGCTACTGCACAAGGCATCTCTACATCAGACTGTCACTTAGAAACATTAAGTAAAGGAGTGTGTGGGAGCTAGCCTGGGTGCCAGGAGAAACAGAAAAGTGATTATTTAGCCAAGGATCATTCTTTCTCTTAGAATATTTGTCTCTTTGGGTGTGTTCGAAAGTAAAGTTACATTATATAACATTTCCATCCTTTGCAGATTGTTAACATAGTGCTGGTCAGTCACAGGTAAATGCAGCCCGAGCATCTAGTTAAGGCACGCTATGAAGACACACACTATGTTGTAGATAAGACCAAACATAATCAACTAAGTAGAATATGCTACTGTGCATTTCATGTAAAGGGACTAATTGACAAGCTATTCTAATGGTCTTATTTTTTACACACACAAATACTGTGCAGCATAGGAATCTGTAATATAGTCAACTACTAGCTACTTGTACATTTGCAATGTCAAAATACAATGGATTCGCAGATTCTTTCTGTACTGTATATAATCTAAATTATGTATATACTGTATGGCTGTTAGCTATCACTTTCTGCCTTTGTTTTATCTTCTGTTCATTTTGCAAGCATCGCTTACTGAATTGTGATTGAAGCAGACATTAGGTGAATTGTGTTTACAGCTTGAGAACGTATAAATATTCAAATAAATGCTATAAATAAAAATAAACGTATTGACTTCATACAGAACATGACTTGACTGTGTGGAGATTTGTTCCCATTGAAGATTATCAAGTTTGTAAAGCAAAGACACTTTTAAAGCGGTTTGAATTGTTTATTTTTAGTCGTAAACATATCCAATCTGATGAAATAAGCGATGATGACACAAGGGACAAAAATATCAGATTGTAAATTAGTTCGTTCATTTTCAATTTCAATTCATATCAAAATACAATGCTAATGTTTCCTCTTGACCAAGGCGCGCAAATTACATTTTGCTTATGTAACGTTTTTGTTGGTGCTGTCATCTTTAGGACAGGAATACCAGCTTACTTAACGGAGGAATAAACACACATGTTCATCGTTGGTGTTTCAACCAGAACGCGGGAAAATGCCCTTTCTTTATTTTCGCACATGCGCAGTTGTACATCTCTCATAGGGCATAACTGTACCAGTGTAAGAACACAATTTATAACATATTAGTCTATATGTTAACACCCCCACTTGCTCTTATACTGTACAAGTCGTATTCAACCTAACTATCAACACATTTAGCTTACAGTTATACATCTCACAAATGTCAGTTTACATTCCAAACATATAACCCAAGAATTTTTCATTTTTGAACTTCGTTACAGGTTTAGTCAAAACATCTGCAACCATGTCTGCCGTTGGACAATATTCAATACTTATTTTGCCATCACTGAGCGCAGATCGAATGAAATGATATCTGATGTCAACATGTTTACATCTCTGACGACATACTGGGTTCTTTGACAGAGCAATTGCACCTTGGTTATCTTCAAAGATTGTTACTGGTGCATATTAGCACTCACTATCCATCTGGCCCAATAACTGTACAAGGTACAAACTTTCTTGTGTAGTAGCAGCCAGTGCCATGTACTCTGCTTCACATGTAGATAAAGCTACTGTTGGCTGCTTCTTAGACCTCCATGAAATAACAGGTCCACATTTAGTTAAACTAAAACAATACCCTGTTATGCTTCATCTGTCACTTTGATCTGCTGCCCAATCAGCATCACTATATGCTACGAGGTTGTGTTTTTCCACCCCCTTTTTGTAACACAACTCCTGATTCATTGTCCCCTTCAAGTACCTCAACACATGTTTAGCTGTTATCCAGTGTTGCTCTTTTGGTTCTGATAGGTATTGTGACAGCTTGCTGACAATCCAGCTGATATCCGGTCTTGTACATGTCATAACATATATCAAGCTGCCTATCACTTCACGATACCTTTTTGAATCAATAGGTTCACCATCACCATCAAAGTTTGTTTTTTTGTTCACATGGTGTTGACCTTGTTTTACAG